AAAACTCCAAGAATGGTATGATGGATTCCTCTTCTATTAAAACTCCAAAAATGGGTCGATTATATGTAGCTGACATGGCGCATTGCGATTGGCCCATAATTCTAATGACCCTTGCAGTCTTTTTCTTTTCGATTGCTTGGCTATTAGAAATGTTCAATTTATAAAGTTTACCCATTGATCACGGTATTTAATATACATTCTCTAATAAAATTTTTAATTTTTATCTTAATCTTTATTTTGATAAAAAATTGGCTTTAAATTTTATTTTTATCTTTTATTTAAAAAGAATTAAAGATTAATTAGTTGAGCCGTTGAACTCATAGAAAAATGGTTCTTTATCAGTCTGACAACGACTTAAGATCTGCCCCCCACAATGTCCCACAGCACATCTCACCTTTATATTGAGAACATCTCCTAATAATGTTTCATTATCTCTGAATTTGTCATTGATAGATGTTTCCGGAATGTCTCACAGCACATACCCACTGTCTATTGGATATCAGAAATGATGATATTATCACGGAGAGATGTTCTCAATACCCAGTGGGAATGTGCTGTGTGACATTGTGGGGGAAAATCTTGTGCGAGGCTGATTTGAACTTAATAAGATTGTAGGATCATGAAAAGGAAACTTCCGAGTGAAGCCGTGAACGTATATCAACCAACGAGTGTGGATTAGTTATAAGGAGGAATTGACTCGTTTAGATTAAGTCAATCTTTTGTTTTTTTTTTTGATAAAAGGAAAATTAAAAAGTCGATACTCTCACATCCTATAGCGTTCCAGAGGATATTGTATTATCCGATAACAAAGTGCCATGTCGCCTAAGGACATTAAAAGAGAAAACTAACGAAGCAGTTCCACTAGTTTAGGCACTAATTATAAAAGAAAAATACAATGGAACCTCTCTCACTGGATGAACAATCTCTTGTCTTTCCCTCTCGCTCTCATTCAGGGTCTGGGTTTCAAGTGGTGGATTGTAATAAAGACAAAATGAAGAAAAAGTGAAAAAGGATAAAAAAGAAAATCAAGGAAAAGTGTCTTGTGTATTTTTTGGTTTGTCTTGCAAGTTAATATATCTTTTGCTACCCAATGAATTGGGATAGTTCACTTATTAGTTGCTCACTCTAATAACTTTTTAAGAAAAATATTTAGAGAAAGAAAAGGGTTTTGAGAAGAAGGTTTTGGGGAAGAAGAAAAAAGATTTATAAGGGCTGAAATGAAAAAGACAAATTCGTTTTTCAGTATCTCTTCTTGCTTCTTTAATGTATTTCCACTCTTGGTGGGAAACATATAGTTTTCTATCCATTTTGTTGATGTCTTTGTTGTTGGAATCCAAAAACCTTCTTGATGTTCATCATCTATCTGTGGTTAGATAGAAAAACAATGTATTCCATTTTAATTGTTGATAGTGGATGATTTGGATTTTGGTCACGTGGTTTTTATCCTCACATTTAGGGTTTTTTCACATAAATCTTGGTGTATACTATTGTTATTTGCCTTGTGTTTGATTATTTGTTTCACTACTGCATATTTGCAATTTGTTGTTAAAATCTCTTTGATTTATACAAGGAAAAATCATAAGGATCATTTCCAACACTAACCTACCCTTCAGCCAACCACTAACAATTACGTGGTCTTTTCCTCCTAACTTCCTAAAGCCTATACTCGCTAATGATTTAATGCAATGATCTGCCCATGGGCTTTTTTCAAAAAACAAAATCCATCCATGGGCACTTCTCAATTCCCATGCTTCTTTGCATGAGTTCATCAACTATGACTGTATTTGGTACCATTGCCACTTCCATCTGTTAAATTTTAGGTTAGTCAAAACAAATTTTATGAGAATATATTTGTTTTTAGACAAATGATTTGACTTACCAATACAACATTTGGTACCATTGTCACTTCTTTGTACAGTCAAATTTGATGTTTCTGTGCAAACACTCAATCCAATGCCTATATTATTTTCAATGAAAGTGGTTAGTTGATGTGATATGACAAGACCATTTCTCAAATTTTTGTAGTGATAAACTCCAATCGTTTCTTTTAGAAACAACATTAATACCAAATACAACCACATCTAACTCCAAAAAAATGGAGAATGTCCCAACTATTTTTACAATTGTGCTCTTCTTAATGGATTAGTGTATAAACTAGTGTGGGTGGGTGGGGGTAGCTTAGACCAAGCCTTGAAATGCCAAGGCCCTATGCGCTTCTCGTTAAATTACTTACCCGGGTAAATGTAAATGCGTTTACCTGGATATAAACATTTACCTGAGTCAATGCATTTACCCATGTTCTTTTATTTCCTATGTAAATAGGGTAATGACTATTTTAGCCACAAAAATCCATTATTAAAAGGGACATTTTTTTGTCCCGTTCAAGTGTTGACAACTTTCCCCCAGATGGAAAAGATATTTACCCACATAGGAGATGGGTACCAGGAAAATAAAAATAAAGTTTTCCTAGTCCCCACATAAGTCTGAAAAAAAGGACATTAATTTCTTAGTCAATGGAAACCAAAATCCCATTGAATTGCTTTACCCCCTCTCAAAATCCAAAAAAAGAATACCTTATAAGACTATGTTTGGTTTGAAGGAAAAGATAGGGTAAAGAAGGGAAAGATAGGGAAGCCTATGCAAGGTTTGTAAAGGCTTCCCCTCCTTTCCCTACATTTTCCTTCAAACCAAACATAGCTTAAGTGTTTTCCTGTTCCTCCCATAGAGAATTATAGAAACAATTTAAGAAATACCGAAACAAATATGTCAGGAACGAAAACATTTAATCTCTCTGTTAAAATATTATTTATAATTTTATGATAAGTGTTGGGGTCATGGCTGAGCTGGTCCTGAGAGACACGTGGCCGCCCAGTCAACGCCTAGCCACGTCGGCATAGCTTGGCCGAACTACGCTATTACTGTGGCCCCCATCATATCCTTTCAGCCACGTTAACTACACGTCACACGGATGAGTACAACTATGGATAAAGAGGAGAGAGGAAGACGATTCCATTGGGGAATGGGCTCTATCCCGAATACCTCGGCCGCTAACCTAATCCTGACAACCCTAAAAGCCCAATCCGACTAGGACATGGATCTTTGGCTACAAAAAGGTACTCCATGCTCAAGATAAATGATCCAACTTTTGACACCCGAAATGCTACTTAGCTCGGACCAGCATCCTTATAGCTTGACTCGACTGTCTACTGCTTCTTACTGACTTGAACGTCGGAATACTTACCCGAGGATAACTCCTCGGGCCTCTGACTTCTCCCTAGTGTCCAAAGAGCGAAATGCTGTTTTTGGTTCATCAACGCCTGAATGCACGATATTTCCGGTTCTCCTTATCCAATGGTTTGCCGTTCGACTAGGTGGCATCTGACTCATCATACCTCCCCTCCCCTGTTCACACACAAACTGTACTCCTGGCCCCTTCGGAGATTGCGGATGTGATCGTTGACTTTTCCACGTCTACAACTAACGAGGCCATCTTGAAGAATGATGCCCCATACCCGTACCCGACTGGATCACCCGTGGACCAGCTAAATGGAAGCGTGATGAAATTCATAATTGCACCAAAACGAGCAGGCCCACCGGATAGGTCAACAGTACCGGCAAGTCTAGTGAATTATCTACCGGCGACAACAGAAGGTGCAGTGCAGAAAAGGTACATCGTGATGTACGAGCACACGAGCAATGCAGGGACGCCCACACATCTCTACATCAACGGGAAACGATTGGAGGATCCGGCAACGGAGACACCAAAATCCGGCAGCACAGAGGTGTGGGAGGTGATTAACTTGACCGGAGACAATCACCCATTGCACCTGCACTTAGCTTCATTTCAGGCAGTGAAGGCGCAAGAGCTGGTGAATTTGGACGTGTTCAAGGCTTGCATGACAACCAAGAACGACGCCGTGGCGTGCAATGTGGCGAACCATGCAACAAGGAAGCTGGCTGATATCCCTGCTTATGAGAGAACATGGAAGAACTCTGTGAAGATAGATCCTGGATACCAAACTACGGTCGTCGTCAAATTTAATCTGGTTGACACCGGAGCTCCTTACCCGTTCGACGCTACTGCTGAACCTGGTTTCGTCTATCATTGCCATGTGAGTCTCTCTGTTATATTTGAGCAGATACCAGATAGATTAACCTTTTACTTTTAATTCAGCTTGACTATAACAAATTAAATCAACGGAAAATGAATAAATGGGTTACAATTTTTCCTCCATTTGTGCAGATTTTGGACCTTGAGGACAATGCTATGATACGACCACTGAAGCTGGTTGCTTGGAGAGTCTTGCAAAAGGAGGCCGGTTAAGAGAACGCCTACTTCTCAATTGTTGATTTTACAATTCATTCATAAGTGTAAAACTGTATTAGTATATGGTTGTTTTAGTATTTTAATTTTTAAGAAATGTATCTTTGAAGCCTGAAGATGCACTCAAAACTATGTATTTCATTGCATTGATTCAAATTAAGGTATAAAGTTTTCTGATCCATTAAAACTCCTAGAACGATGGTTTCATTTTCTATTAAATGTACAAAAAGAATTCAAATGGTTAAAAATAATCTCATATGGTACCTTCTTGTAAAACAAACATTTGTGATTTAAAATAAAATGGGCCGAGTATATGTAGCTGACATGGCGCATTGCAATTGGCCCATAATTCTAAGTTCCCTTGCAATCTCTAATAAATTTTTTATCTTAAAAAAATAAAGCGTTGAACCGTTGAACCGTTGAACCCATAACCCAAAAGGTTCTCTATCAGTCTGCAGACAACATTGACTCTTGGATTGTGAAACGGAAACCTCCGAGTGAAGTTATGAGCACATCTATTACCGAGTTTGGATTGGTCATCAGATAGAATTGACTCGTTTAGGTTAAGCCATCCTTTTTTTTTTTGAGAAAGGGAAAGAAGAAGAAAGTCGATGTGGATGTGGATGTAGTTCTTTAGATGTGGACATGATCTTGCTTATAAAAATGAAAAAAAAAAATTGTGGCTTTTGATCCATTTGACGTGGTTCTTTTGGATTGCAGCTAATCAAGGAATAGAGACACACATTCAAGACTTGAAACCACACGTCGAGTAACATCTTCCTTCCAGAAGGCCGTTTGTGGAATTTCACTTTTTATCTCTCGAAGCTCACCCGGCCCCTCATTCAGAAATTTGAAAAATTAATATAATTTTTCTGAAAATAAATAAAAATTTTTATTAAAAAGAAAAAGAAGAGAGAAGAAGGAGATACAAGTACCCAGCCCATCACCAAGGAGGCCAACTCCACCGTCCACCATCGACCAACCATTTCTAAAGCTTAGACAATTAGATCTACTATCTAAACTCCAATCCCGTGAATACTTCGGACCATTTTGGATCGGTTTAACTTAATGTTTGGACGGCCCAATCTATTCCAATTGATTTTAATTTAGATTGTTTTCAATTCAAACCTGATTCATTAACACCTGTATTATTATCTTTTATGAATGGACCAGATATTGGTTCAATTTGAATCAATTCAATATAAATCCATTATAAATGGATCAGATTCAATCCAATCCAATAAATACTTTAGATCGTTAAGTCTGTACTGGTACAATTCAATATATCTTATTGGTCCATTCAATCCATCCAAATTGATTTTGATTTGAATAGGGTCCAACTCAAAACCGAGTTAGTTTTGTTATAAAAAACAATACATGTTTTTGGAACCAATAAAATATTGGTTTTTAAAACAAAAACAGTTATGCTAATATAAAAATTATATGATTTATGGAACATGATGTTGAATAATCAAATGAAAATATTTTTCTGAAACCAAATTCAATAACATGTCTTTAGTTTTAATTTTGAAAACAAAAAACACATACACAACCAAAAACATGTTTCTTTTGTTCTTGTTTTGAGAAACAACTTGTTTTCAAACAAGTTGGTTTTGATTTGTTCTTGGAAAATAAACAAGAAGAACAATTCACATTGTAGAATGCTTCCTTAGTGTCATGTGATCAATGTCTTCTGGTTAGCAAATCTAGTCTCTAAGGTTGCGTTTGGAAACGATAAATCCCGGTTCAGGGTAAATTTGCACTCTGGTTCACTTTTGTTTGTGTTTGGCAATATTATACTTTTATATTGACAAATGACAGACCAATGCATATTTACATTGATAATAAGATGTAAAAGTATATCAATAAAAAAGATGTAAATTTGCATCCAAGTGGGCTTTTGATAAAAAAAAAGCATATGTTTTATTGGAATTCGTGTTTTCAGCCATTACAACTAAAAGTCAATTTGGTAAAAAGGTAAATTTGTCAATGCAAAATTAATCAAACTTTGTAATTTATATGAACCGTTTTACACTCTACATATTTGCGTTCACACATATTTGCATCATTTCCAAACGCAGCCTAAGAGCCAAAGCTAAGTAGAATTGGAAACGAGTACAAATGGAATAATGGGACTTTGCAAATTTTAAGTCAAGAAATCTGCCAAGATAAGCAACAAGTGTTGTAAAAATAGTAATGAGAAGGGAAAATGGAAATYATCATTCTATTGTTTTTGACCCGGAATACAACAATGTTGCAGAACCACTTATGAAGATGCAGGTTGTGGACTAAGAAAATTGCAAACCTAGATGTGTTGGATCATGCCACTTGGTCAATCTCCATAAAAATGCATTTGCCCCCTATCAGCACCTAGATCCATGCAAAATGGTTTTCAAGTTGAAACTGCCCACAGGCTTTTGGTAAACATGCAATTGCTTATCATACTCCGTGAATTACCAATGGGAGATGCCCAAGGATGTTGAATGACAATGAACAAAGAAGAATGTGTTTGTGTGTTTCTCTATTTCACGGGGTTGATCAACACTCTATTTATAAAGTACTTTTAGTCATTCGAATGGACATAGAGGTGTTTTACGGAGAGATATATCCCTTCAAAACAATGGCAAGCCACCTATTCAAAGAGACACAAAACATAAAAATTGAAAATGTTCAAAAATAAAAAATAAAATTCAAACGGTTTAAGCAAACTATCAAAATGTGATTAAAATGATATGGTGTGACACGTGTACACACCCACACCCAACCCCTTATAAGCATGTGAATAGTGTATAATGTATTTTTCTATTATTGGTCCCTACTCATAGATATATCAAGTTTAATAATGTATTCAAGTCCACTTTTCCCAAATAATGATAATTTAGTGAGAGAATATGCACATCACAACATTACTAGCGAAGGCTCTATAAATTGTTTGGGTTTGGATCCAACACTTGGGATTGAGTGAAAATGTTAATTGAGTAGGTGTTTGGTATCATGAAATTTCATTAACTCATGTAAATGTTACATGTGCGGTTTGACTTTAATATTAGATAGAAAGTATATTTGACTGGAATTACTTATTCCCTGTCTATTTCTTTTAGACAGGAAGTGGAGTCAAACTCCAACCCTCAATGAAGGTTGGCATCCTGTAAACAAAAATAGATTTAAGTCACTTGACCTAAGGGAAGAGCTAGTAATGGCCATTTCCTCAAATAGGGAAATGTTATTCCACCATGAATATGAGAATCAAAATTCTATTCTGTCAAAAATGGCTGAAGTCGAAAATCTAAATGGCCCATTTCTATTCTAATTCCAAACTCTTATTCCTGTAAATCAAACAAACTGAACCCCTACCATGTATAATAACATATCAAATAGGGCTGCAAGTAGATCAGATAGGACAAGAAATCTGATCAACTCGAATCCGACAAGAATTCATTGGATTTTTAAGAGTATGATTCAAATTCAAATTTGAATATCTATCCAACATCCGACTTGATTAGAATTGTAATGAAAAACTAGATATAATATATTAGATCTCGTGTTGTGAACGGTATGAGCACCGTTTTGTGAGGACCAAATTTGATCTGTGCATGGATAATATCTCCATACTTGTATTTTTTTTCATGGGAAGATATTCCCAGTGTATGGTAGCAAGGGACTGTGAGGACAATGTAAGGACGGAACTGAGGATCAAATCCAATTTTGTACTAGGTAGGACTGGCATTTAGGCTCAATTTGGGGAATACAAATACAATTATATACTGTGCAAATACATACAAAATACAAGTTTTTGTACTTTAAATTTGTATTTGTACACCTTCCAAACTGAGCCTTAGGCTGTGTTTGGTTGCAGTGCAAATTTATTTGCACTAGTACAAATGCATGGAAGTGCAAATGTAAAAAATGCAAATTCTTGTTTAATTTTGTTTGGGATTTTACTTTATTCTGTTTCATGTTTTAATTTACTTCATTTGTATAGCAATCAAATAAAATAAGCTAAAATTTGAAACAAAAATAGGTCAGAATTTACACTCAAATCATTTGTACTGTCATAGTTTTGCATCAGTGCAAATTTTTCTCATTCTGTCACGTATTCAGCCTATCCAGTCATGTATTGAATTAGGATCTGCTCCTCGTAGGGCGCGCCTCACACCAACCTTACATCTACATCCCGTCCTATATTGAGAATATCTCTGAATAAATAATAAATACAAGTATTCTGAATTCTCGATGTACACCCAGAACATAATGTAAGATCGGTGTGAGGTGCGCTCAGTGAGTAACAGACTCCAGTCCAATCCAGGGGGTTGGGACTATACCTGTTCACCGGCTGGCCTTTGGGCCTGACTTTACATTGTGTCGGGTCACCCCTTTCCAAACCAATATTTTCAACCAGTGGTTGACTCGAATTGGATGAACCATTGGCATAATCGCCCATAGCTCAGCCCTCGGCCTTTGCCTACCCGGCCCAAAAACATGGCCTCACCGGAATTAATCTGAAATAGTACTGACTCAAGTGACATGCTAATGCATGACACGTGTTACCGGTTCAAATCTCCATGCACGTCAATAGGTTGACGATGTGTGTTATTATTTTGGGATCGTTGACCAAAAATCGTTAATGGACCACGCTGGAAGCAAGAAACGACAAAAATCGTACTCTTGACTAAGACAACACGTGTTTAAGGGTGAAACCATTTTCTTCCATGCAGCCAAACTTTTCTCCAGTTCACAAACGCACGAGACACGAGTTCACACTTGCGCCCGACAATATCCCGCCGTGTATCGACAACATCGGTTTTAGTACTATCAGCGGGAGATGTTATACGGCGTCCCCTGTGAATCATAGATCTGAATTCTCAACATACACATCTGGCCGTGCACTGGGAACATCTCCCTCCGACAAATTCAGGAAATGTTCCCAATGCAGGGTGAAATATGAATGTGGGACATTTGTGAGGCGTAGATTTGATTTGAATGTGCCTAGTGGGGGTCCG